TTATACGATTCTATTGTTTGTTGTTAAATGCCATTGAGTTGGTTCCAACTCCTAGCAACCCTGTAGAGGGTTTCTGAGGAGTGGCTGCTGGGTTTGAACTGCTGACTTTAACAGTTAAGAGCTTATCCTACAGTACCACACCAGGACGCCATCATTCTGTAGATAGTAGTAAAATTCACCTTAGGAACTTCATGGGTAATTAAAATGATTTTTTTTCTTTTTTTGGTGAAAATACATATAACAAGACATTGTTGTTGTTGTTGTTAGGTGCCACCGAGTCAGCACCGACCTATAGCATCCCTGTGCACAACAGAACAAAACATTGCCCAGTTCTGGACAAACCTCACAATCATCGCTATGTTTGAGCCCATTGCTGCTGCACTGTGTCAGTCCATCTCGAAGGGGGTCTTCCTCTTTTTTCTCCAACCCAACTCTTTATCAAACACAATCTCCTTCTCCAGTGACTGGTCCTTCCTGACAATATGTTTGAAATATGAGAAACAAAGTCTGGCCATCCAGACCTCCAAGGAGCAATCTGCCTTTACTACATTGTATGTTCTTTTGGCAGCCTATGGTACTTTCAGTATTCTCCTCTGACACCATAACTCAAATACATCAATTCTATAATCTTCCTTATTCACTATCCAACTTTAACATGCATTTGAGGTTATTGAAAACACTGTGGCTTGGGTCAGGCACACCTTAGTCCTCAAACTGACGTCTTTGCTCTTAAACACTTTAAAGAGGTCTTGTGCAGCAGATTTGCCCAATGCAACATGTCATTTAATTTCTTGAATGCTGCTTCCATGAGTGTTGATGGCTGATCTGAGCAAAATGAAGTCTTTGACAACATTCACCATTTCTCCATTTATACAGATGTTGTTTATTGGTTCAGTGGTGAGGATTATTGTTTTCTTTACATTGAGGTACAACCCATACTGAAGACTGTGGTCTTTGATCTTCATCAGTAAGCATTTTAAGTCCTCTTCACTTTCATCAAGCAATCTGGGTTATCACAGGTTGTGAAGGAGTCTTCCTCCAATCCTGATGCCACATTTTTCTTCATGTAATCCAACTTCTTGGATTATTTGTTCAGCATTCAGATTGAATAAGTAGGGTGAAAGAATACAACTCTGGTGCACACCTTTCCTAATTTTAAACCATTTAGTGTTTCCTATTTCTGTTCTTGACCTGTGTACAGGTTCCTCATACAAATGAGGAATTCATACAAATACAATTAAGTGTTCTGGAATACTGATTCTTCCAAATATTATCCATAGCTTGTCATGATCCACACTATCAAAAGCCTTTGCGTAGGCAATAAAACACAGGCAAACATCTTTCTGGTATTCTCTGCTCTCAGCCAGGATCCATCTGATGTCAGTCACAATATTCCTCATTCCATGGCCTCTTCTGAATCCGGCTGGAACCTCTGGAAATTCTCTGTCAATGTATGCTTATAGCCACTTCTGTATTATCTTTAGTAGAACTTTCCTCACATGGGATATCAAAGTGATTGTCCGACGATTTCCACATTCTGTTGGGTCACCTCTCTTTGGAATGGGCCCAAATACAGATCTCTTCCAATCAGTCGGCCAGATAGTTGTCTTCCACATTTCTTGGCAGAGATGAATGAGTGCCTTCTGTGCCGCCTCACTTTCTTGAAAGATTTCAATTCAAGCCTTGACTTTCGTTATTTAAAGATTCTTTGGGCAAATTATTGAATGATGCAGAAAGCATCAAAAGAAGATGGAAAGAATACACAGAGTCACTGTACAAAAAGGAAATGGTTGAAGTTCAACCATTTCAAGAGGTAACTTGTGATCAAGAGCCAATGATACTGAAGGAAGAAATCCAAGGTGCATGAAGGAATTGGCAAAGAACAAGGCACCAGGAATTGATGGAATAAAAATTGAAATATTTCAAGAAAGTGATGCAGCACAGGAGGCACTCACTCATCTCTGCCAAGAATTTTGGAAGACAATTATCTGGCCAACTGATTGGAAGAGATCCATATTTTTGCCCATTCTAAAGAGAGGTGACTCAATGGAATGCGGAAATCATTGGACAATCTCTTTGATTTCCCATCCAAGTAAAGTTTTAATAAAGGTTATATAGAAACGGCTGCAAGCATACATTGACAGAGAACTTCCAGAGGTTCCCACTGAATTTAGAAGAGGCCGTGGAACGAATGATATCATTGCTAATGTCCAGTGGATCTTGGCTGAAAGCAGAGAATACCAGAAAGATGCTTACCTGTACTTTATTGAACTACGCAAAGGCTTTTGATTGTGTGGATCATGAAAAGCTATGGACAACATTGCCAAGTATGAGTATTCTGGAACACTTAATTGCGCTCATGAGGAATCTGTACCTGGACCAAGAGGCAGTTGTTCAAACAGAACATGGGAACACTGGATGGTTTAAAATTAAGAAAAGTGTACAAGGTTGTATTCTTTCACCATACTTATTCAACCTGTATGCTGAGCAAATAATACGAGAAGCTGGGTTATATGAAAAAAACGTGGCATCAGGATTGGAGGAA